TCTTACTCTTCTCTCTCAGTTTATTCCCTGGGAAGATCTAGTTCTGCATATGAGCAGTCATAAGTCTGTGAATTCCAAAGGGTATGTTGTTATAGTGGAGCTCCCTGGATAACCAGGTCTGGTTACATATAAATAAATCCAACCAGTAATCTCTGAGTGCAAAATCTGCAGACCTTATGTTTTTATATTCTAAATGTAATATTCTTGCAGGTTTTCCTGTTGTTTTTTCTACACTGGAAACACTTTCAATTTTAAAGAAAGGGTAAAAGTACTAGGAGAACAGTGAAGTAACAGGCTATAATAAAATTGTATTTTTAATTTTACTTAGGGTTTTGAATGCCTCTCTCTGACAGCCAAAGCCACCTTGGGAGGTACCCTTTACTCATATTTAAAAAACACATATGATGTAAGACAAAAAACACGGTTTTGCTGTAGGGTTTGCTAAAGGATGGCAGGTGTTAATGAAAAATTTGTAAGCATTCCATTCATGGATTAAGGCCTCTTTATTTCTAGTGCTTGTGCGTAGCAAAATACAAGATTTTGAGAAGTAAATGAACTAATTAACCTCTCTCTTGCTCGTGTTCCAGATTTTCATTACTGTCATGTGCTCATCTTGCTTGTTCTTCCATCTTCCAGCAAGTTCTTCACCAAATCAGGGAGGCAAGAGCTGCCATGACTATTCTGCACAGGATTTGTCTGAACACCACACAAAGATATTAAAGACCAACATGCGTGGGGAGGGGGAGTCTTCTAAGTAGGTCTTCCATGACCCAGATCACTTCCTAACAAATGAGTTTGGAATTACACATTGCAGACAACACTTTCTTATTTTATTTGGGGTTCTCTTGAAATCTGCTTAAATTAAGCTGTGCTGCTTTTCCATACCTTTATTTTTAACAGCTTTCTTGTAAACACAATGTTTTACTATTATGTTGATGTTTATAAGCAATATAAAAACAGGTGGAAAGGACATATTCTGAGCTTCCATCTACATTCTTTGACTTACCTGTCTACCACAATCCGTATCTTTCTAGCTAGAGATCACTGTGATACCTACTTCTTGCCCACTCTGTTTTCTCAAGAACTGTCTGCAAAGAGCACAGCAAGCTGTGCTTGTGGACTTCTCAGGCAGCAAGCAGTTGAAGTGCATGAAGTATAGCGGGGGAAGGACCAAAGCAAACCAGCATCAGGACCATGCTCTTACAAGACAAACCACTGCAGTGCCTGTCAGCTTCTCTCAGAGGAACCCAGGGCTATTTACAAGCCAGTCCCGAACCCCTCAACCTCCTTTGTTTAAGTACGAGAATGGACTCACCGGAAAAAATGGCCTAGATGTGACAAACACCAGAGAAGTATGCAAGTAATCTGTCTAGATTTAGAAGGTAATATTCAATATTCTTTTTATCAATCCTCAAAGTGAGATGCTTGTGTGTCTAGAAAATGCTATTGCCCCACTCTTGCTTCAATCACTAAGCCTTCAAACCAGCCCTTCTGCTGAAACTGGTTTTAGCTGCCTGTGTTTTCTGTTAGAAAGAGAATGCTTGTCAATGACAAATAAATAATCTTTTCACCAGCAGTCGAGAAAGTCCATGGAGTACACACGCACAAGGTAGCAGGAGTTCATTTGAGTAATGAGTGCATTTTGGGGGGATCAAAATACATTTATGGACAGTAAGAGGAGCAGAATAGGAAAGAGATGGGTTTAAAAATCAGTACATAACCATTGTCAAAATGGAGGTGCCAAGGCAAAATTTATTCTAGGACACAATATTTTAAAAATTGAAGAGTGCTATGTAGGTGACAACAAAACAATGAGATTCTTACGTGACACTTTGAACAGAAGATCTCTTAGTGCACCTTAGGTAATTGAAATTACCTGACTTTCCTCAGAATGTAATGGGATAAAGAAAATAGACACTTACAATAAATATAAAATCCATGGAAAACATTGTGAATAAAATAGAAGAAAAGTGGAGATACAAGTATCACCAACATAACCTATTTTAGGTCTCTTCCATTACTATTTCCTTTATCTTCATGTGTTTTCAAATCATTGACATAAATGTTATTTGCACATCTTGACATATCTATTTTTCTAACAATTCTCATACGATATTGGACTGAAAAGCATAGATTTATATCAATGTTTTAAACAAATAGGAAGTAGTCCAACCACTTTGTTAATTCACAGAATCGTAAAATGTTTTGGGTTGGAAGGGACCTTAAATCCACCCCCAGTGCCCCCCCCTGCCCCGGGCAGGGCCCCCTTCCCCCAGCCCAGGGGGCTCCCAGCCCCGTCCAACCTGGCCTTGAACCCTCCCAGGGAGGGGGCAGCCACAGCTGCTCTGGGCACCCTGGGCCAGCGCCTCGCCCCCCGCACAGGGAAGGATTTCTGCCTTAGATCTTACCTGAATCCTCTTTCAGTTTAAAGCTATTACTCCATGTCCCGTCACTACAGATCTTGGTAAAAAGCCTCTGTCTTTCTTCTAAGCCCTCTTTAAGTTGAGAAGATGAAACATGGTCTCCCTGGAGCCTCCTCTTCTCCAGGCTGAACCACCGCAACTCTCAGCCTTTTTTCACAAGACAGCTGCTCCAGCCCCCGATCATCTCCGTGACGCTCCTCTGGACCCGCTCGAGCAGCTCCATGTCTTCTTTACGCCGGGGGCCCCGGAGCTGGGCACAGGACTCCGGGTGGGATCTCACGGAGCAGAGTAGAGGGGGAGAATCACTTCCTCGACCTGCTGGCCACACTGCTCTTGATGCAGCCCAGGATGTGACTGGCTTTCTGGGCTGCAAGTGCACATTGCTGGCTCATATTTAATTTTTCACCTATAAAAATCCAGTGAAGCTACATTAAAGTCCATAGTTATTTTATATTTTATAATGCCAGTGTTTTAATATTACCTTCAATACTACCTTCTTTGAAATATCACTACTCTTCTCAAGACCAGTCAATAAAATAACTCCCCCCAAATTTCTGATTAATCTGTATTTGTTACTCCTTGCAGCTCCTACTGATCTTTTGAAGAATGCACTAATGCTGCTGACGAAAACAAATTAAAGATCACCGCTCAAATTATCTGTTGTTACTGATAACCTCCTACAATAAAAGTATAAAGAAACATCACATGAGCTGTACTAAATGTTTACACAGCAACAACAAAGTGCCTTTGTTAGTGATGGCCAAACAGTAAGTTACCACCTGCTTGAGCCAAAGACATGTCTTTTTCTTTCGCTCCAAATCATGTCCAGGCACTGCAAAAGGTCATGTGAAGAATTTAAATACTCAACTCTCACTTGAAAGTGAGTTATTTACTACTTACAAAATTATAGTTAGTATAATAAGATTTTGCAGAGCAGTGGATGAAACATTTTTCCAACAATGTGATGTAAATGTTGATGTCATAAAGTGAATCCTATCCTCTTTCTACAAGGAACTAAAATGGAATACTTCATTACTGATCAAAAGAATTGATTGTCAAGTTCTACTTCTATAAATACAGTGAACATTGCTACATTTCTGTAGTCCATTTATTTACCAAAGAGTCTAGATATAATGCCTACATAGTATTACTTTTAAATTTATGTTTCATAGGAAAACCGAAAGATCCCTGATATGGAGGGGTAATTAAACAAAAAGTCTTAAATCAGCATATACTGTCAGCTCAAATATTAATTCCATTATTTTTAAATCTCTAACTTAAACGCTTTCCCTTTCTTTCAGCTAGAAATTTCTGCCACCCAAAATGACTAGAAGACAGATTATCTATGGAAAGATTAAGTGTGAATTTGCGGTTTGGTTGGGTTTTTTTTCAAACCCCTGCCTTCCCTATACCTAAAATACTTCTCTTTCAGAGTGGTAGAGAAGTATTAGCCAATATGAAGAGGGACAGGCTGTTTTGGTTTGGTTGGTTGGTTGGTTTTTTTAAATGCTCAAGTGTAATCATGAAGTATTAGTGACTTGTTAGACTCAAGTTACACATTAAGAATGTGAGCAATATGCTACTGCCAAAAGGCACAGAGTGTGGAGTACCTCCAGCCTCAGCGATAATTTGTGTGATCGCTTTTCTGTACTGGTACCAGTATGCACTGTCCCAAGTCCTTTTATTAAATTTCTATCTCGCTTCCTAATATCTTCACCTTCCAACTTCCTAAGCTCCCACCACAGGATGTGTGTACTGAAGGTTGCAAGACAAGACTCACAATAAATTTTCAAGGAGACTTAAGGAGAGAAGCGGAGTACGCGCGCGTTCGCCCCTGTTCCCGGATGGTGACTGACAGGCATCTGGATGTTGGTTTGGAAGGCAGACAAATATGAACAGTCAAAGGAAGCAGAAACAACCTCGACGGCTTCGGGTTGAAGCGAAGCGAAAACGCTGAACACGGCACGATCGTGGATCAAACCGCGGTTTCAAACCGTTTTTCAAACGTTTTAAGCGTGTGAACACCCCCCCCACGCACCGCCACACCGTCGGGTTTGCAAACCCAGGCTGCGTTAGTGCCTGAAGCTCCAGCCCAAGGCGAACGAGCTCGGTCCCTCGCAGGGCTCCTCGGTGAGACCCCTCCGTCCCCAGCGCCCCCCCGCCCCCCCCGTGCCGTGCCCCCACCGGCAGCGGCTGCGCCCCGGCCTGCCCAGCGCTCCCCGCCAGCGATCCGCGCACACGCGGGACTCCAGTTTGAGCTTTTTTTTTTTTTTTTTTTTCCCCTCCTTTGCAAGGTAACCGGGGCGCACAGACCGACCCCCCCCCCGCCGGCAGCACAGCCCGCTCCCCGTGCCCCGAGCGGCCGCAGCGCCCGCGCCCGGGGCTGGGGGGACACTCGCTGTCGGCGACCAGAAACGCTCCGAATCCCTCCGAGGTGCCGCCACGGGTGAAACGCGAATGGGACACCCCCCCACACGTCCCCTCACCGCCCCCCCCCCTCCGGGCGCCCACGCGGGGCCGTTCGCCGTTGGCGGCCGTTAGCGGGGGCGGGCGGGGCGGGCGCTGCCCCCACGGGGGAAAACCGAAAGTAACGGGAAGGCTGAGGGCGGCGGAGGATCCCCGGGGCTCTCGGAGGTGCCGGCGTCGCTGCCTGGCGCGGGGAAGACACGCGTGCGGGGCGGGAGGGCGGGCACTGCCCGAGGCGTGGGCGTCCCGCAAGCCCTCGGTCACGGAACGTCCGCGGAGCCGGGCCGGGCGCTCCCGCCGCAGCCGCTGATGCCCCGGGCAGGGCGGCCGCCCGCGATGCCGGGCTGCCTGCCCGGCGTGGCTGCCGTCCCCGCTTTGCTCGTCAGCTGGTCCTCGGCCGCCTTCATCATCTCCTATGCGATCGCCGTGCTGGCGGGGCACGTCGAGCCCCTCGTCCCCTACATCAGGTGAGGCGGGGGGGGGGGGGGGGCGCCGCGGCGGGAGCGGCTGAGGGGCCGGGGCGGGAAGCGCCCGGCGCCCGGGCTGTGAGGCGGCGGCTGAGCCGGGGGGCTCGGAGGGGCTCCCGCAGCGCCCGCTCCTTCCCCCGGCGCGGGTGTGGGGCTCCCCGCAGGAGGGGGCGCAGCGGCGGCCGAGCCCCGAGCTCCCGCCGCGGCTCTGGCACCCCGGCCCCTCGGGGGGCAGCGGGCCCGGCCGCCGAGGGACGCGCCGGGGAGGAGCCGGGCCGGTTCAGTGCTGGAGCCAAGGCGCGCGGCAGGCCCGGCCCCAGCCAGGCTTGAGGCCTAAGTGGTGGAAGGGCAGCTCAGGCTGTGGCGCCCCAGAACGGGGCCAGCGTGTGTCAGAGGGTGACAGGGCTGGAAGCCCGACGGCAGCTCTTGTAGGGCGCACACCCCCCCAAAGAGGCATGTTAGAAATGTCGGCATAGCAACAACGAGCGCAAAGGGTTCCCTGAGAGGTGACTGGCATCTCTTTTCCATAATCTTAGCCATTTAAGCCCGATTCTGTGTAAATTACTGTTTGTACGTTGCTTATGTTAACATTTAATTCTGAGCTGTGACATTACTGGTATTTAGCTCTTAATAGATTAAGTCAGAAATCCAAGAGTCACCTCTGATCTATAGAAAATCAAAAAAACCCTTTCAAATACATCTTCCAAGATACTTCAAATACACCTTTCAAGATACATCTAGACCTCATTCCTCAAAGGACTTTATGGACGTGCATAATTTCAGAAGGCTGCTAACCTGAGTTGTATGTACACCTAAATTTGATTGAAAATCAGAGTCTGTCATCATAAGCAAGTGAGATGATGCAAATGACACTGCAAACCACAAGAAAGTTGAGCTTCATTCAAACTGAGCCAAAGACAGTTGAGCTTATGTTAGCAAAACCTTTTAAGACTATCTGCCCAAATCTGGATGCACCTTGGAAAGCCTTGTGCTTGTACGTGCACAAATACCCTACTGCCTTAGCAACTGTGGTTATACTCATGCTCTTCCTTGTTTAGATACACAGTTTTACTGACACAAAAGCACTTGTAAGCAGCGCGATCTATCCATTATTAATCAAGAAAAATAAACCATTTGGTATAACTCTGTCCATGCTCTCAGTACGTGGTTTGTGCTCAGAAGGATTTTGAGGTCTTCTAGTAAGAAATTGGACAAATGATGTTTCTTACATTGAATGTCACTGAATAAAACAGAGAAAAAAACCGTTTTTTTATTCTGTATAATTGTGTTTGCAGTCAAGTTTTTGACAGCTCAGATATCTCGATTGTAACTGTCTTTCTTCTTAAAAAGATAGACCAAATGCACAAGTCACAGCCGTATAGCTGATGAATGTATTACAGCTCCCATGGTTATATAAATCTAACTGAAAATCTCACTGAAAAAATCATCCTTTAACTGAGGAATCACAATAAATGTACCCTAAAAAAAATCCAAGACATATGAGGCTATGTCAGTGATTAAAAAAAAACCACAAACCCACTCATGGTTCAGGCCCTCTGCATTTGCTAGTAAAGTTTTTTAACAGACAGATTTCTTGTTTATTTTACATCCTTTTAACACAACATTTGGACTAAGGATATGCATTGACTGTAGGTGAACAATCTGTAATAATTCTAAAGGTGCGTGGTCTAAGCATATGATCTTTGTAGAAGGTACGCTTGGGAGTAATATGGTGATTCCTTTTAAGTACTCAGGCCAATAGTCATTCTATAGTTCTTATTTTTCAGGTCATTGCTGTAGGCTCAGAAACTGAATCATGGGATTAAGAGTGTGATTTAGTGAAACTTAGAGTGATAAAAAAGAAAGAGGAAGAATGTTGCAACATTTCAGTTGTGCAGTATCTTAAAATGAACTATAAAAATTAAATAGAGCTTGTATGGGGAAATTCCAGTTAAACAAAGGAAAAACACTGACAAATTTTAGTTCAACATTTTTGTAGATCTTACTTACATTCCTCAAGTACCCCGTGTATGCCTAGAGGTAACTTGTTAATTTTATTAGTTTACCATGTAACAGCTGTCACACTGAGAGAAAGCCCACATCTAAATCTGTCATTGAGACTATGCTCATGTCTCATCAAGTAAACCATATAAATATATTTCTGGGTAGATAAAAATTAACATGATTTTGTGTTTTCTAGAAGCTGAGGCCTAAAAGATTATTGGGTTTTGCCCAAATTTGTTCTTTTGCTCATGCTACTCATAATCCAAACTAATTTGGTTGTGCTGGGGTGGCTGTTTGATGGTTTGAATTCTCAGTGAAAGAGTGAAGGGAATTTTCCTTAAGGTATTTGCTACCAGTTAGTACCTCTGGATATAATCCAGGATATAATCTTCTTCTTTAAAAATTTGGGACTTCAGTTTGAAGAGAAATAGTCTATGAAGGAAACTTGACGATGATGAGTCTTCTGGCCCTAAAATATTTTTTTCCTGTTTCCTCTACCTTCTTGTCTTTCCACTTTTCAGAAGACTGACTGTAGAATTCTACTACATGAGACAATTACATAAATGCTGTAATTTTCATACAGGGTTCCTCATGTTTTCAATAGTCATTGTGCTAATCTACGCACCACTGCAAATAAGTGAGCACATGTTTTTATCTCATATGCATCATTTGCTTTTTTCTTTTCCATGAAAAGAAAGTAATTGTCGCAAATATTTGTTGACCTTTTTCTTTTTTCCAAAGCAGCAGACCAGAAGTAAAACAAAAATGTACCTAAGTCTTCAGTTAGCTTCAGGGACTTTTTAGTGGAACATATGGCATTAAAAAGGTTGTGTCCTTAAAAGTCCAGTGCAGTACTTTGTAAATACATTGTAGATATGATATAGTATTCTTGGTATGAAATTACTTGAAAGTGTGCGTCTAAGATTATTGAGTTTAAAAATCAACAATAGCAAAATTCACTTACAAAGCTTTAGCTTGAGAAAAGCTTCCATTAAAAAAATGGAGTTCAGTGCAATTTCAGGTTATCTGGATTGCTCTTATGATGTGAAGTGTTCCAAGAACTTCATATGGCTTTCTCTGCATGTGCCAATTCCATTCTTTTCTCACCTCAAGTCCTTCAAAAGCTTTGAAGTGATCGCAGTCCTGCACTTAGCATAGAGTACTTTCTGATTTGCAAAAGTCTTTCAAGATTGTCACAAGTGGCCCACGTTTTAAATGGAGTCCTTTGTCATATTAACAAAAACACTCCAGAAACGTGAGGAAAAGATGTGAAGTTTAGGGTTAAAAAATGGGCTAAATGAAGCATGGATTAAGATGATTTTCAGAACTGTCAAAAAAAAAAAAACCAAAAAAAAAACCAAAACAAAAAACCAAAAAGAGTTCCTGTACTCTTTTCATCAATTCCACTATCAAAGAGAAACAAGACAATACTGAGTGCAAGCTGGAACAAGTCTTCAGAAAGCATTACAGCAAGAAAATATAGATGAATAGGGATTTGTAATGCCTGAGAAGTTGTAAAAACTTGTCTAAAAGCCTGGTCCAAGCTTTTGTTGTCTGAGAATTTGGGACCAATCTTGTCAAAACAAATACAAGATTTTTCTCTATTTTTTGCATCAGCTTTTCACAGAAAAGGATTTTCCCCTTCACCTTAAGCTTTCTCCCATACTTGATAAATCATCCTAGCAACCGATTACACAAATGGAAGGAGTACAGTTCAAATAGTATGCTCTAAAAATATGATTCCTTTCTAAAACGAAATATTCAGAACTACAAATGGAGCTTAAGTGGGCAGCAGACAACATTCCAATTTGTATGTTTAAATGCCTTACACACATAGCAGCAGTTCACACAAGTTACATTTCTCTTGGGATTTCATGGGTACATCTCATTTATGTTTCACAGATCTCAATTAACTTTTGATTTCTTTCTCTTCCTGCTTTAGTGACACTGGAACTAAACCTCCAGAGAGTGGTATCTTTGGTTTTATGATTAATATTTCAGCACTTTTAGGTATGTATAAGGTACTTGGTTTGAACACAGCAAAGAAATGAAAACTAGCAAAAGCTGTCTGCTTACATTGCAGTCCCTACAATATTCTGCACAAAAAGCACTCCACAGTCAGATGGTAGCATGAGACAGGTGGAAGTCACGTCTAGAGGGGCAGGTCCCTAGGGTCGGGAGGTGCAGGCTTAGAGACACTTCTGTCTCTTCCGAGGACCTCGTCAGTGCCAAGTAGTCTGTGCAGCTGGAAATGAGAAGTGGAAGGCAGATAGCAGAATTACCTTGCAAAACCCGTATCTTTGATGTAGGCAGACATTAGGTCTAAGATGCCGAAGCAAAGGGAAGAGCAGTGTTGAAGTAACACCTGACTTCCTCTGAAAGATGCTTACGCCTCTCCTAAATGCCTGCTGGCCTCGAATCAGGAAGTTTGGCTTTTTCACTTCTAGAGAATGGAGGATCAAGAGCTGTGTACCTCTGTATATGTGTAGTCCATGATGACCTTCATGCAAAGGAAAAAATCACATATTTTGCCTTTCCTAAGAGCCTCATCCAGTCACACCATCTTGGCGTGTTTCATGTAACTTCATAGCGCCTAGACAAAGTTACCTGATTTATTTTTCCAACTGTAGATACACTGAAACTATGTTCTGTATTACTGACATGTGGAATCCGGTCTACAGCTTATTATATCCTGGTGAACCATGATCTTCTAATTCCGTAGAGGTGTTTGTCAGGAATGAACTGCATATTGGGGCCATGTAGGCTGGAACAAAATCTGTGTGTAGTGGTTTGGGGATGCTGTTGTATTAAAGAGCAGCCAGGACTGGCCCAAAAGCTTGAAAATATTTTCTGGATACACAGCTAGTTATATTTTTTTTCTGTTTACGCTTCACAAAAACTGTAGTAATTCTTCAGAGCATCCATTATAAGGAGAATTAGCTCTGGTACAAGACTGCATGTTAGAGAAGAATAACTATCTCCCACTTCTAGCTTACAGTTCACCCCTGTAACATTTATTCCTAATGTAGAATGTCAATGCCTCTGTGCCTAAAACACACGGGAGGGTGGGATTTAAATTAGTGTTTTTCTTGAAGTGATGTACAGTTATTTCTAGATAGCATTAATGTGTAATGTTAAGACTAAGATAATGTTAAGATTATCTGAAAGTAACTGATCTGAAATTCACTACCTTCTTCATCCCAGTAGAGTTAAAGGCAGTATTATTTATTGTATTATGCTTATAATTTTATTCTGTATGCTAATGTGTTACAGGGCAAGGTGTTAAAATGTAAGCAATACATGATCATTGAACAAAATATGTATTGTTTGTTTTTCAGGTGTAATTACAATGTATATCAGATATTTATTAATAGAGAAGCAAAATGAGTCATCACACTTTGTTAGGTCTTCGTGCAACATGTTTTCATTATGTATTGGATTGATGGGCTGTATTGGAATGGGCATAGTTGCAACTTTTCAGGTATGACCATAGATTTTATATCATAAATAAAACTAAAGTTGTACTACCAGTTAAAAAAATCAAACAGATAAGAGTGGGTAACATTATCCCAGTGTAGATACTTGACAAACAGAGTAAGAATGTCTTCTTCTTCCTGCCTTTTTTTCAGTAGCGTTAACAAAACAGATTTACTTTCTTGCTATATACTAAATATTTTGCTTGCACAGTTCTGTCAGTGAGGGGTTTTGTGTGTGTTTGTCTTGCAACATGTCTGTACTAGAAAACAGCTTAATATAGATGCTTTTGCAGTAAGATTTTTTCTTTTAAAATTTTACTGCAAAAAAGCTTTGCTGTTCACAATTTAGTTTGGTTATATTCAGGTAGGGCAGAATAAATCAGACTAACAAAACCACCTGTATTTTTACCTGAATGATGGCACACACACTAGCAGCATTTTCCACAGAATAAACAAGGCTTATTTGGTAGGTTAGAACATTTAGCACTGTATTAGCCCATCGTTTTGAGTCTGTGGGAGATGATGTAACATGTTAAATCTTTTGAGAGACGTACTTTTCAAGAATGGATAAGGCATCTCATTATTAATCAAAGTCCAGCCCTCAGTGTCTGAAAGAAAATTCAATAAAGAGGAAGAATATTGAAATAGACTATTCTTTTCATCTTTTCTAGTGAGGAGGTGTGTAATAGGATAGATTCTGACACAAAGATGTATTAGGACAGTTGCGCTGAAAACTTCACCTGAGAATCGAGTCAAGTTTTATTGACAAGCGGTTTGAGATATTGCCTTTAAATCTGTAGAAATAGCTGAATTGTTTCTTTTAAAAGGTGGTCTATCTTGGGGAACATTTTGGTGAATACTGTTGTGCTCATATAGTGACCTGGCAACATACAGAGAAATTGAAAACAAAGATTGTCAGGGCTTCAGCAGCTAATGCAATTTTGCATGTAACTGACATGGTATTTTCAGGAAAAAAAAAAAAAGATCTGCCTTAGACTGGTATCTTTCTCTTTTCAGTTTTACCTCCGGGCAGCATGTGGACTGCAAACACTGCAGGCACTGCAGTCCATTCTAAGCATGCTGTTCTACTTTTAAATATCTGTAATCTTATTGATTAGATTTAATGAGGCACCAAAAAAAAAGTTGGATGATGGGGTACAGTGTTGCTTGACTGAAATAGAAAAACTCAGCTTCAATAAGGAAAAAGACAAATCAGGAATGCAGAATAACTTGGGAGAGTCAGGGAAGCAGAAACTTGGATCCTAAAGTTTCCAAAGGGGCCCCTTGGCAGTTACAACACTAGTTCTTATCTAATCTCTATTGTCTCTCATTGCCTGTTCATAAGCTCTTTCCTCACCCGATTTCTCTTTCCTCTGCTTTTACCTTACTTTCCATGTTAAGTGCAGTTTGTAAGAGGAGTTCAGAACAAAGTAAGGATCTAATCTAGTTAAGGATCTGATCTATCAAATTTTAGAGCATGCTTAATTGCACAGGAAGATGGAAATGGTAGCTTGCAAGTCTTCGATCTTTTAACTGTGTAGTGTACAACTAATGAACAGTACACTCTTATCCCCATTTACCAGTAGAATAACTGAGAAATGAAGAGGCTCTGAGATTTGCTCAAGGTCAGGTGATTGTTGCAGGTCAAGAGACCGAAGAGCTGGAATTAGAAGTTATTTCTTTAGCATTCAGTCTAGTCTCTCTATTCAGTGGGTCATGCAGAAAATTCACATTCACGTGCTCTAACTGTTGTTCAGCCTGGAGAAGAGAAGGCTCTCAGGAGACCCTACAGCAACCTTCCCGTACTGAAAGGGGGCTACAGGAAAGCTGGGGAGGGACTCTTCATCAGAGAGCACAGTGATGGGAGGAGGGGTAATGGGTTTAAACTGAAAGAGGGTAGGTTTAGATTAGTTATGAGGCAGAAATTCCTCCCTGTGCGGGGGGTGAGGCGCTGGCCCCGGGTGCCCAGAGCAGCTGTGGGTGCCCCCTCCCTGGAAGGGTTCAAGGCCAGGTTGGACGGGGCTGGGAGCCCCCTGGGCTCTGGGGGGTGGCAGCCCTGCCCGGGGCAGGGGAGGGTGGAATTAGATGATCTTTAAAGTCTCTTCCAACCCAAACCATTCTGTGATTCTACCTGTTTGTTTCTTAACAATTATTTTTCCCCAGCAGTTGAGCTAGCACCATCCCTGACTATTGCAGTAGAGCTGATTACCACTATTGGGCATCAGTTCATTTTCTCTTTCCCCAAAGCGGAAGATCTCGTTTGATTAAAAGGCTTCGGTGTGAAATTATATTAGAAATGTTTAAGGTTTGCTTTTATTTACTCAAATCTAGTGCCACCTGGGGTATGTCTTTTAAGTAGCATAGTTATTTGTGAGGACATTTTTTTCACCCTTTTTGCTTCAAGGTAAGATATGTTGGGTAGCATGAGGTTTTAATGGTATTGGTCTCTGAACATTAGAAAAAATGAGGAAAAAGGTGGGAGAAAAGACACTAGGAGTGTGTCCTCTAAAAGCAAAGGAGTTTCTGAGAAAACGAGTAATGGTGATGAATAAGGTATTAATTCTCCATTTTAAATAGCAAAATGCTTGAAATACAGAAAGAAAAGACAGTGGAGGGTTAGCTTTGAGAAGGTAATTGGATATGGGAGGAAAAATCTTGTAGCCCTTAATGAATAACACAGAATTAAACCCCAGGTTTTAGCAGGCCTGTTTTTGCCTGTTAGATGTTACACTTGATTAAAGAGGGATCTTCCTGTCTTTGACTGGAAAGCTTAGGAGGCTTACCATAGCAGATGTAGAAACATTTCCCAGGGGTTGAGTGTGATGGGCTTTTTAGGGAAGCTGTGGAAGTTTGATAGGAGTCTCATGAGAGCCACGTTAGAAGAGCCCTCTGTATTGTGTATGGGCCTAAGTGCAAAGGGCAGCAGTTACACTCATGTAGTGCTTTCCGTACCAAATCCTATCATGCCTATACGGTAGGCAAAAAGTGGACAAGAGGAGAAGAAAATGCAAGTATAGATGAGATGCTACTTAAATACCTGTGTGAGGAACACGCTTTAAAATCTGACAGAACTTAATACATCACAGAGAGACAGAAGGGAATGAGTAGAAAGAAAAGCACAGGGAAAAAGAATTTAAAAGAACACGTGAAAATAATCACCATTATAAGGTGAATAAAACAATGGCCTCCAGGCAGGAAAGATATTAAAATATGTAATGAAAGGATATAGGTGTGTTTTCATGAATCACTAAACCAGAACTGTAGTAGGTCAGATCATAGCACATGTTTTGCCGTGTCCTGGTGTCAGAAAGGAGCTTTAAAGCTAACTTGCCTGCCTGATACTGGATCCCAAGGTGGCATAACTCTGCATCTTTTTGAAACATTTAGAATACAATAATTTCTCTGAAATCTTAATCTGTTTTGTTACTGGATATTTTACTTGTGTTTTAAAGGAGAGAATCTTCCATAGGTTGGGTATTACAAAAATATAGGCTGCATATAGTGATACTGGAATTTTATATACACTTCCACCTGTTGTGGAACTTGAATAAAAGCGGCTGATGATGTAGGAAAAAATAAGGGGGATGAGTAGTTCAAGAGACTGACAGTGTGTAAGACCTTCATACCAAGAGCTTATTTTAGGTAACACTGTTTGTATGTTTTTAGCATATAACTAATTTTTTGCTGACTTCTTTCCTGGGCCCTTGTGGCTGGCCACTGGAGGGTGGGGGACAGAGCTATAGCAGTCACCGTTTAGAACAGTTCCCATGAAACTTTACTGTTCATTGGAGTGTGGCCACAGAAATGCAGATCAGACTTTCAATAAAAGGGTGAAAATCTTTGGCAGTGTAAAGGGAAAAAGGAGGTATAGGAAACTCTTAAGAAAAACACAAGCCAGTTCCTGTTTGTGGAAACAGTAATTGGTAACAGACCAACTGCTGAACAGCACTAAAATTGATCTACGCTTTTATGTGAACACAGGAAAGGACTTTAAGCTGGTGGCTTTGGACATGGTTAGTCTACCTCTCTGAGCTACTCTTTCTCCATTTTCTTTCATTTTCCCTGTGTAGGCTGTTGGAAGAAAGGACTGTTTCCCAGTGCTTGTACGTGCCCAGCATAATGTGGCTACCATCTTCTCAGGGCTTATTGATTCCTACCACTGTACAAATAATAGCAGCTAACCATTGTGCTGATTCTCTTTCCAGGAGCTGTCTGTTCCCAGTGTCCATGACATAGGAGCTCTGGTGGCATTTGGCTCGGGTGTTGTATACATTACACTTCAGTCTATAATCTCTTACAAGTCCTGTCCACAATGGAACACTTACTTTGTGTGTCACATAAGGATGGCCATATCTGTAATATCATGCATTGCTTTCATTCCCAGTATCCTTTATGGTGTATCCCACAGTTTTCCCCTTATGCATTCATGGTTTGCCTTTTAAGTTAAACCATTGCTGACAAAGGATGAAAAGGAGGTTACAATCTTTCCTCAGGGCTCTCTAATACTTCTGCTATAATAATGCTATATAGCATGTTGAGATGCCATTAATAGCATAAAGATGAGTTTCGGGGTATTCTGAAAAGCCATATGTCTTCTTTCAGTGCTATATTTAAATCTAATGCCCCAGTGTTCTTCATAGGATCATACAATAAAAAAGCTAGACCAACTTTCCGACCTTCTTCTTTTGAAGGAGGGTATGAAGGAAGGTCTGCAAAAGGGGGCACTGCTTCTAAAACAAACCTAACACATGGACATAGAAAATGCAGCTGGCATACACAAGATTTCCTTCAAGCCTAAGCAGATGCTTTTGCTCGTGTTGGTTGGTGTTTGGCTTCATTAGATGCCTCCCCCAGAGACCCACTCAACACACTTACTGGCTTTTCACACAGCCTGCTGAAATTAGAGTCATCCCATTGATTTTATTTGTCTTTAGGTGATCTTGCATTGTTGAAAAGGGGTCGCAGCAGCTCATCACATCAGCGAGCCAACTACGGCCTGCTTTTGGTTTCAGCAGCTGTGAGAGGGCTTTCCAAGCGGGCCCCAGTCCTAAGAGAAAGTTGTATAAATATAACAAAGCACCTATTGTGGACCCATGGAAACCAGCATGGTTCCCCTTCCAACAGTGCGGGACTCTGCTCCCACAGTTCTCAATCATGAATGTGATCTGAGTTTTGGAGCGTCTCCCTTTATCCTCTGTACTTTGGAGGAACTGTAGAAACCTTAATTTATGCAAAAATTTGGTTTGATTGCTGCTATCAGTGACCTTTCAATAATGTGTTTCATTTACTTGCCTTCTTAATACTTTGATTTGATATTCTGGTTGTTCAGGATCTCCTGTGTTACAGAGGGGGAGAGATTGAGTCTTTTATTGTAAGCAGACATTTTCACTATTACTCACTAAACTTTTATAATTTCCTTTACACTGTGTTTTTCCCAGTGATTGTGTTTGCTTCACAAATTTCCATGACAAAAATCGATTGGACTCCAGGTGAAAAGGTAAAATCTCATTAGGTAGCCAACTTACCCTGTATCGTATTATTTGGTTATGCTGTTACGTTTAGCTAAAAGTGTATAGCATTACAAACACTTCAGACACTCTTAACTACTACACTACCATGAACAGATCTGGGAAATCTCACTGTTTTGTCCAATGCTGGTTTCCAGTTATTATTTCATTAGGAAACTGCAGCTTGGTTAAGAAAACTTGACATGGAGGGGTCAGTGTTCAGGCAGTGAGACTTTCATTTTAACCAAGCACTCAAAACTTACTCATAGAACAAATTGTAAAAAAAAGAGAGAATTGTTCTACTTCCTTCTAGAGTCACGTTTCTTGAAAATGAAATTCACACATGAAACAAAAGTGGACCAAATGATTGTGAAGTTTTTGAGGTTTTTTACAACATTGGTTTTCTCATTTTTTTCACCATTCTTCATTAAACAGTCTTTACTGTTGTGACAGTAAAGGGTCTGACCTGAAGCACACTGAAGTCAGTATTGATTTTAGTATTCTCAGAATTACAACTATGAAAGGTAAGTTTTCTTTCTGAACAAACGTTACCACATGGAGGTTTTCAAAAAGCAAGTTAAATAATGCAGAGAGTCTGTCCTGATTGAAGAGCTTAATAAAAGCAAACTTGGCAAATGTACTTCAACCAAACAGTGGCAAGGCAGCTGTGAGATAAATTTTCACAGGCTAGATAATCTTAGTAATATCTACCTCTCGAGGGGTTTTTTGTTACTTGAGAAAAAGTTTTTACTGAAACAGATGGCATATTTGTTGATGGCGTGTTAAGAAACACTTTACATTCTGTTTGTGTCATATTATGTTGGTTTTCTGTGATGGTCTAATCGAAAACAAAGGTTCTGTCGGGTACTGTCACACAGGGTTAGCCCTCTGGTCTAAAACATCGTGAGATTTTACTGTAAGGGACTCTGGGCACTTGCGTATCCTTCATGTAAGAAACGATTTTTTTCATGTGCAAATTATATTCAATCTATGTTTTGATTTTGTGCCAATTGTAGTTTCCTTGTACTATTTTTTTATGTTAGTGCACAAGGCATATTGCTTAATGGAATATATGCAACGTTGATAAATATACTTACCATTCTGTAAAAACTAAATCTGAACTGACTTTTATACAACACAGTATTTGAATGGTGAGTCATGAGTTTTAGAATATTTGTTGAATTTACAGAAGGAAATGTCTGTTTTTATAGCATTCCACAGTTATTTTGTTTAGCTGTTTTATTTGTAAATTTATTTTATGTCTCATTCCATCAGGATTATACTTATCATTTTGTGAGTGCAGTCTGTGAATGGACGGTGGCCTTTGGTTTTATCTTCTTCTTTCTAACATTCATTAGAGATTTTCAGGTTGGTACCTACATATTTTAGCAGTGACTAAGAAATGCTATGAATTGTATAACAACAAATTAAATAGAAAATTACCATTCGGTATCTCAGCTAAATTTAACAAAGCTATACAGAAACAAATTTTGTCAGTCACAGAACTGATTTCTGTCTACCTAATGAATATTTTCCCTCTGGGTCTTAGAACATAAAAATCAGTTTTGTAAATAAGTTTAATAGTTTAACAGGTGTCTGGTCTTGAAAATTATTCAGTAAATTAATATCTTCTACTTATTTACCAATCTTTTTGTAGAAGAAGCCCTCTAAAGGTGACATAATACCAAAATAAATGATACAACTAAAACTGCTTTTCTTTCTATCCGAGAGATTTTTGCATAATAATCCAATGCATTTCAACCATAGATGTTGCCTTCCTTTTTTAAAATTACCCATTTTGATACACGTTCCCTCACAATGTGAAGAATACCAAATACTTTTTGAAAAGTATTGACATGAAAACCTTCTAGTTTGGGTAGCTGGATCTGGTGATGCATCAAGCCTGACTGTAAGGAAGAGAAAATGTTAGACTGGTTAAAAAGATAACTATTCTGTATGATTTGTGAAAGGCGTGCCTTGAACCTATTTTCCCAAGCTTTGCCTCACCGACTCATGTTGTTTGCACAGCATGTCCTAGCTGCAGTGTTTCATGGGGTTTTTGTTTAGTACAGGGATACAAAGTACTGAAAATACCAGTGTGTGAGGCTTAACTTTGGCAAAAGAACCTGTAACAAAATTAAAAATCCCACTGCTCATGGCAGGTGCCCTGTGGAGATCCTGAGGACAAAATCTCCTGGATATTACTGTAGGTGTTAGGAGGATCATGGCTTCCTTATCCTTCTCAGACTTCTGGATGTTTGTTTTCCCCATAAAGTAGTTGGATCTTTGCAGGACTGGAGTTGAGAGCTTAACGTGGGGAAGTCTGAGAGCTGCTGCTTTATACCATAATTACAAAGATGAACTAATGCAGTTTTAATCACTGTAGATGTCATAGCCCATCTGTAGATCTTTCATATATACCACTGCCTTACATACGTCCCAGAGAGTCAAAAACTAGATCCAAGCACTTGCATAACTGTAGAACCAATAACCAAGATCACATATGTGAGCCAAATCATGCTGTGATAAATTGCTGGAAACCATATGCAGACTTTGTGGAGGTGGGAATGGAGAAAAAACAGTGAGAACCCTCTAAGTCCTCTGGCATAAACCCAAGATTTGACATCAGATCATGTAAAACTTAGTAATTAATTTACTTGCTTCTTCACTTATTGTGCTTGCTCAGCATGGAAGTGATTAATACTTGAATATAATCTGTACATAACTTTCATAAGCAAATACAGAAATTAATTTTCAGCTAAGAATTCAGAGTTAATATATATTTTGCTAACCGATAGCAAACATTTCTACACCAGTTTATTTTTGACTGATGCTACTGAATAGAGCATGGCTGCAGGGATTTCCCTTATTAAAAAAAAATATAAAATAAAAGAAAAAGCTAAATTATCCAAAACAAAATGCTTTTTTTAAAAAAACCCTAATTGTTCAAAATTACACAATGCACTATCTTAAAGGAATATAATTGCCTTCTAAAACCGACCAAAAAAAAAATTGAAGTACCATTCAGAAATTCATGCATCATTACATTTACCATTTGAGAGGGAAGGTATTTATAGCCAGTCCATCACTCTCCGATACATATATGATGGTATCTGTTTTACCAAAAGTCAAACTCTTCCCATGGAGATACGTATTTGCAGACAATGCTGTAGTCCTCAGATTAGCTAAATTAGTGTATCAGTCTGCTTCAGATCACAGATCCCAGAGTGTTCAACACTGAAAGTTTAACTACATAAAAATATTGTGAACATAATAAATAAGAGAAAGTGGTGGAATTAAACTAAATAGAAATACAGACATTTTAAATTACAGGCTATTAAATAGCATGAAATCCAGTGTTAGTGTTTGACAATGACAGAAGGATTTTTTAGATTCTATCCTTTTTTTGTCCTCACCAGTGCTCACAGAAAGCTGAACTATTAATTCAGAAAAAAACAACCACCAGACTCTAAGAAAAATAAGCTGCCTTTTTTTTTTAATTTCTCACAGTATGTATTTCATTTAAATACTTTTTTTTTGTTTGTTTTATATACTTATACTTCATATCACAGAACTGTAAAATCAATTTATCGTAAGCTGATACCTTCTTATTTTTCTTTTAGAGATTTTCTTTAAGAATATCAACAGAAATACATGAAGAATCCTGATAGCGGAAAAAATTATTTTTTATATATATGCATATTATAGGTTTCTTTTCACTTATATAAAATGTTTCAGAGGGATACGGATTTATAAAGTATAAAGAACCGATGCCACTAACTCCACAACATCTATAACAGCATCCACTCAAACATTTTAAAAACTCACAGCAATGTTACTGCTACCTTTTTGCAATATTTTGTAATTTTTGTACTGTTTGATACATTAAAAATACCGTAATAGAAGCAATCTGTAGAAGCACTTGAAAGTCATTCAGAGACTTTTGACTCGGCTCTTCCCTTTTGGACATACCCATACTTCTTCATATGTTATAGTCTGATTAGTAACATTAGTTTTAAACTTGAAAAAATACATTTTGCAAATAGTTAGGGAAGTCTAAAGACAGTGGAAAACACTAAGGCTGAATTCCTACTCTGTTAAATCGCAAGTACTGTGGAGGAGGGTGGGAGCAGAAGGGGACATCTTTCTTCCAAGACTAGAAATTTGTAGTTAGTAGATGGCAACACAATGCTACACGTTTCTGATGGTGGACACTGTATAGAAATACAAATCCTAGGAGACGTTGAAACTATACTGCTTGAAAAATGTTTTCTAATCAACACTGCAATGTATGTTGTAAAAGCCTACCCCTGTCTCCTGCTGGCCATAGGAAGCTTAAAACTGAAGCGGGAAAAGACAGTTAATGTACGTTTCTGCACAATCTGCTAGAGGGGAATCTTACTGCATTTTGGTTAATACAAAGTAGAAGTTTTTCAGCCTGTGTTTTAACTGACAATGATGGAATGAAGAGGGACTCCAAAAAGTCATTGAGAGTGAATGGAAAACAAGAAGAGGCACCAGTAGTTCTCAGGTGCATAGTTGTATGTGTATGAGTATTATATATATATAAAACTGAAGGAAAAAAAAAAAACAAAACCTGGAGAGCTTCTGTAGTGAAGATATGGCATATTTGCTGCTATAAACGTACTTCTGTAATGAAAGACTTGGAAAGGAACTAACTAAGAAGTCAGATGTTACAAGTATCTGGAGGCAAAAGGGTCTTTCATCTTTCATAGACTGATTCACTACCTCCATTCAGTATACTAACCACTCGGCTATCAATCAAGTTCTCTGCAAATGACATTTGCCACGGTCTATCACAGCTCATGCAGAAATATTGATGATTTTCAGTTGCTAATTTTCCATGAGATAAAACAAATGTGTGTTTTGGAGAGTGATGTCTTAAGACTAGTCATCTGTTGATATTTCCTTTAATGTGTATTTTAAACTGTATTAAATTCAGCTGTTTCACAATTTAAAGAGTCCATGGTTTCTTTAGTTCTTCCAACTAAAAACAGTAAAAATGTTTTTCACTCGCAGATTTGCCTTCCACAGTATTCAGGTTATCTTGCAGAGTTTTATAGTTACAATCATGTCAAAATCAAATCTAGTACTAACTAAGTGCAAGACTTATGTCTTGCTGATGAGGTATGCTGCAGGGGGCAGACATTCTTTCAAGTGAAGATCGGAAATACAAGAAAATGTATACCAACCACAAAAAGTGACATCCTGCTATTTTGAAGGCTATGTTAAGAAAAGACCACATTTCTTAGTGCACTGTGTATTGTTCTTTTATTGCTTTTTATTCCTAGCTTGTTTAAAGAATAAGGAACTTGAAGTTGTTATTTCAAATGATATCAGATTCCAGCTCATCAATTTGCTAAATCCTCTACATCGCTAAAAGAAACTACATTAAGTTCAGCCTTAACAAATATTAGTGTGTTTTTGCAGTGAATCAAGTATACTTAAACAGGAAAACAATCATTTTGTGTTGTTCTGATTTAGACAGGAAATCATCACAATAAATGTCAGAAGTTTCAAGGCAAGAGAACACTAAGAAAACATTAAATCATCATCCCAATACAAAGTACCCGAAACAAATTCACACTTATTTAATATCTTAGTACTCTGTCCTCGTCAAAAGAATCATACACAGCCTGCCAACCTTTACAGTGTTTACAGTGTCCTAAAGAGAAAAAAAAAAATTTTTTTTTCAAAGTGGCTGAGTCAAAATAATCTTGTTTACTGAACTCAATGTGTTAATTCAAGTACCAAAGAGCTACTGAATGCAATCCTTCCTATTTTCCTGAGCTTTATCATGATACATTTTTATATGAATTACATTCATGACCAAAAGAGTGCATCACCAACACTTTGCCTTTGATTAAATTTGTTAGACCAGAAACATCAACATGCATCAACATGCAGATGGAGACAATGGACCTTTTCATTTGCGCAGTGAACAACTATGGAAAACACTTTGATTATTCTCTGGCTCCAGGCAGATTTCCATCAAGATACTAATTACGTTTTCAGTTGAAATATGAGTTGACAAGTTGCAAGCAATTGGAAAAAAAAATTCTTTTAGCAAGTTGTACAATCATAGCTGTGGATGATTATTAATAAACAATGCTATTTATTTTTTTATAATCAAGTGATCTCTACAGGTTAGTACAGATAATGTCACAGCACGCTTCCGTTGCTTTGCACAGGCTCTTTTTTCTATATTTCCACATATCTTAGCAACAAGAAATAGCTATTTTTTCTTGGGACCTATGCTAGAAATATTTTCACCATCTACTCTGCTTGCATGATGTTTTCTGTTTGTCAGCCCACTGTGAGTGATTGAGAAACTTCTTTTGCATAAACTACAGTAAATCACATGACAGTTATTTTTAGTGATTATGCTAAATCATTTCTCTAACCCTTCCAAAAGTGCAACGTCTCATTTCTCTAGGTTGAGCATCTTGATCTGTTGCTGAAATACAACCGTGGTGGTCTCTATCACAGTTCCAAATCATGTAAGGATGAAACTCAAATTGATTCAAAATGCCTAAACCCCACTTTATCTCAGGACACTGTTACGCTCTCTCTGCTCTTCTCTCTCACATGTGCTCAGCCAGTGATCACCATATATTGCACTTTTGTTTTTTCTCATGAGGTATTCTACATTTTTATTTCTGATTTGCTCTCTATGCATACTGCCTTATCCGTGACAGCAGTGTATGTCCGACAGTAGTAAAATGACCTTGATGGCAGAGGGTTTATTATTTGGCGGCAGTACTGTTTGCAGAAGTTTCAAGCAGACTAGAGAGATTATGGTGACATGCATCAGTAAGTTTTGGGCACTTCCGTATGAAGTGTGAAAAGACGTTAGAGTCTCGTATTTGAAACTGCTCTCTAAACACAGAGACGTAGTCTCGATACTGACACCACATTTTCACAAGCCTTCAGCTTTTGGTGGGTCAGCTTGGGGACTTCAGCGTGTTGGGGGTCAGTGATTTGTAACCTAGGGGGTTTACAATGTCCACTACAAATACTCTCTCTGGAAGAGGCCAGAAGAGCCGTTCTCCTCCAAGGAATGGTGAAAGGCAGCGTGGTGCTTGGATTTTAAGAAGGGGTAATGCTCATTTCCTTGGAAGATGAGCTAACGTCCCTTTATTTGGGAGAAATTTGACATAACGTAAGGAAGTTGCAACATGTTTTAATTCATAAGATTTCTGCAGCTTTGACTAAAACTATCCCAGCTGGGTCTGTCTGTCACTGCATTTGTGTGTGTGCGCCCATATGGTCCATACCTGCATATACAAACAGCATTGGCATAATGAAGCCTGGCAGTGGTTAGCTGCCTGCATCTTGCTGTAATACACATAAATGATTGTAATTGTTGCACTTTATAAAAAGCAGAAGTGATTTTACGAGTGTTGGATATGTACTTGGTACTGTAATGCAGAAAATTATTTCTCACATTTTGAAGAGAAAATAGGCATCTTCTACATTTGGTATCTGTATTTTTCCCTGTACACAATAGATGGCACTAGTAGACCACATGATCAGGGTTTATTTTCAACGTTCAGGCTAGTAAGTACAATAGTTTTGTAGGTAGCTTTAACTGGTTTTAATAGTCATCTGGAGACCTAGTTAAATGTTTGGGGTTTGTTTTGTTTTGTTTTTTTATTATGCCTTTGTGGAAAACAAGTCAGATCTAAGTCTCCTTCCCATCCCCTCCTGCCTTAATCTAAGTAAATATGTTTTGCTACTGCAACATGTAGTTTCATAGCAATTTCAATATTCACATTAATTTGTCTAAATCAAAGGAGCCACTTGCTGTAGTTAGCACTGGCACAACTGCAATCCAGCTGTCATTATGAAGCCACTTCCCTTGGGAAGTTTTTCCTACCCTATTCCAAGGAAGATACATTTTACTCAGTAGCTTCAATAGACTTGTCAGTTTGCAATGGAGCATCAGAAGACAATACAAACCTTATTTTCAGGAGACAACAATATAAAAATAACAAGATTTTAACATTTCAAAATTGTGGGCATTCTGCACCCAGAAACAGTGACATGTCAGGTTGTAAAAAAAATTCAAAGGCAGCTGCTGTATCAATTTAAAATCCACTTTTGTTTACATATAATAAGTCTGTTTTCAGTTATTTCCTTACATAACTGAACACTTGGATAGCATCTTTTGCATATCTTCTATGAAGTGCAGCAATAATCCAGGCCCCTGAACATCTGTCATTTTACCTGGAATTATACAAGTTCAGCATTCTCAGTCTAAAATAAGCCACACTGAGCATAGATAGTCCTCTAAAAACTCTCACCAAATGTTGCATGGATTTTTTTTTTTTAAATAAATATGGAAGGCGCTTTAACAAAGTATGAAATCTTTGTTATTGATAGACATCTTCAACATGGTAGAACCTTCTTACTCCACAACATGAATCCTCTCCCAACACACACTCATAAAATTCATTGTAAGTGGAAGGTACATTGACAGAGGTGGAAACCACATAAAAAGTAAATAGCTTGAAGTTAATTGTAAGGGTCTTGGGGAAGACTAGGGAAATTCGATCCAGGTAAAAAAGGAAATAACACTGGTAATGAGATATAATATGTGTTATAGCTTTTATCTTTGTGCATAAAGGCTCTTTTTTATCTTTGTTCATTTTAGCTAGAATCTGGAACTATTTATTTTCTGTCTGTCTATGGGTGACTGGATGGTGCAACTCTTGAGCAATATTACAATTCAAAGGATTTTTTTGTTCAAACCAACCAGCTTCCCCCTTAAACATCCACTGTGTAGATAGTTCAAAAACTTTGACTGTGCTCCAACTAAATTCTCTGAATTATCTAGCTTATGCAGCTAGGCATTGTCATATCCCAGCATTTCTACCCTGTCTCTCTTTTCTAATAATCTGTGCTAGACTTAATTCTTATAGGCGACCTGGGAAAGTGAAAAACTATTATTTTGGGGTTACCATAAATACTGTTTTATACAATTTCTAGGCTCTTCCACTGGATAATTTTTCATAGTAAAATAATTTGTGGGGTTTTTTCTTTTAAAAAGTTATAAATAGAATTTTGTACAGATTTGAACTTTCACTAGGACTACATGTAAAATCCAGTCTTTACTGCTTGGAACTGATTTTGACCATAGCTCTTGATCTTATGGCAAAAAATATAATGTCCAAAAACTGCTGACAAAATATGACTTTGTTATAGATAGCTATTTAATCTTTGAAGATCCAAATTCAATAAGAGATAAGAACCTTCACTTGAAGGGAAAGTGATCTTCTTGGCTTTAGCCAACAAAAATCAGATTACAAGCCTTTTACCAACTTTAATGATTAGTATTTCTTGCTCTGCTCAGCAAATGCATATGTTGTCCATAGAGACTGGGGATGTTTCCTGGGTAGCTTCTGGAGTCTGAAAAATAACCTCAGGGATGAATCTGGAAAATCTGTAAGCAATCTGAAGGAGATGTCAAGCTCTAAGACTCTCTGGCTGTTCTGCTCTTGTTCCTTATGCCAAACTTGTTCTCTTATTGAAGAAGTGGAAAAGGAGTGTTCAAAGCTACGCGTTCAGACCTGATGTATCAGAACCGATACCACGGATTGCAAAAGGGTATAGTTTTGATTAACCCTCTAATAACATTTAATTCAAAATTCAGTGCAAAAGTTACTGCATATAAAGGTCATGGCGCTGCAGCAAGATCTGAGAAGTCCCCAAGTAGCTGTAACAGTCTTAGAAGCAACCAAGGAACCAGAAGCCAGGCTTCAGCAAGCACTCCTTTTCTCAGGAGTGTGGAAGCTTTCCATTGGCTGCCTCTCAGTTTTGGGGGCACAGAGATGGTGCCATTTCTTATTTTTCCCTTTGTCCTCTGTCCTTCTGCGTTACCTAATACTCAATTCACACAAATTCTGTTGGCAAACAGCTCTCCTAGTATGTTAGTATTAGGATGTGGTTTCTATGATTCTGTTCCAGAATTCATCTTTCTTCATGACAGTCAACAAATTAGCCTTACTTTCCTCCATTTCGTGGTCTCAATCTGATGTCTGGGGAATTTAAACACATGCAGGTAGTAAGTCATGGGTGCTCTCTGACCTGACTGCTGACCAAAATCAACTGTCAGCTGAGATCCTGCCTACAGCTGGCATGGCTGGTTAGCTTAAAAGTGTTTAAACCAAATATTTGGGGTAATTATAGTATTATAACAGATTTTAAAGGGTGATTGCCAGTGCTGTCAAAGGGTAAAGCTGACATTTTTTCAGTACCCTTCCTTGCCAAACAGCTTTAAAATTTGAACATTATTATTGTATTAGCGTAGCTTTTCAGTCTTGAACTGAATTTAAAACATGCTTACTGCTTAGGGTAGGCAATACAAAATCCTGATTGCTACTTTCCTGGAATTTCAACCAAAAGGAATGGTACAACATTATATAATCAGATTTTTAAAAAATCAACTTGCAGTTTTACATGGCATCTTGTGTCTGCTCATGGCAGCCAGAACTGAGCGTTGCCATTGAAAACAGAGAGTCATGGCAGTATACTCACTCCAAAAATACCTTCTGGTTGCAAAAATATTTAACAATGTTAGGACTAAAGAGGAGTGAGAGGAAACTAAAGAAAGCCAGGGTTGGAAACTGTTCGCTGCACTGTCAGATAAAAATTCAATATGGAAAAATGCACAAACAGACAAATAAAAAACAATTTCTGGAGTAAAAATGCAGTCCTGCAGACCACTGAGTCTTCCTGAGTAGGGGTTGAACGATGAAAGGGGGATGACTCTCAAACCAATCAGGTAAATTCACTGAGTAGAAAGTGCTGTGCATCAAGTATTCAGCTCAGGACGGGGGATAGATAAGTCTCTCCCAGATTTCTAGAAAGAATAGAAACACTGCCTTTGCGCGGGTTTTGGAAAAAGAAACCTCGGAAACCAAACCCCTAGCAATATCATGCATGGGTCACTGAGAGCATCCCATAAATCATGGTAGCAGTTAAATGGCATGGCAAAACAGGAATTAGTGGTCTCTCCATTTTCTTCAAGGGGAGCTGGCAATGGGTCATCATCTGGAACACTAAATTATGTAACATTACAACAGAATCAGCAGTTCCTCTGAAGTTTTGTCAGTTGCTCTCAAGACATGCATACTCAGAAAGAGGTCTAAAGTTTAGAAGCTGAGAGAACAGGTAAGAAAGAGGAGAGTCCTGTATGAGAAAAGAGGAGAAGCAAAAGGCGGGACTGCAGGGATGTGCCTCAAAGCCTGTGGAAATGAACACATCACCTATTGCTGGCCTCAGTGGAAGTAAAGAGCACCACAGAGAACTCTCTGTTAGCCTGTGATGAATATACAGTCAGTTACGTTAAGTGACAGCACATTATATAGAGGGAAGAGGAAGCAAGTTTTCTCCAGTTTTCAGGTACTAAGGATCAATACTGTGGCAGATTTCTTAGGAGCAAAGTTATATTGTAATTGCAGTCACCAGACCCCGGAGAAGAGGTACCTGCTGACAGGTTGCAGTGGATCATTCAGAGCCAGGAGGATTTGTCCCGTCCGCGGATTTTCAGTATGGAATTTGGGATAACAGATCGTGCCTGACTGCAAAGGTCCCCCTGTAGCTTCTGGTGGGAAGACACCGTCTTGTTTGGCAGTCCCACGGGGAACACAGAAGAGTTCTTTGCCAGCAAAATGACAGAACTAGGAAAGGAATAGAGCCTCTGAAAGGAAACACTGAGGAAAGAGCTACACAGGAAAGATGTTTGTGGTGATCTGCTCCTGTCTCCGGTGCCATGTGGGAGACTGAAATGGGCATCACTGCAGGTGCAGGGAGGGTTTGCTTGATTGTGATGCATTATCCACTCCTGGCAGCTAAGTGACAGCTGAAATACATTCAAGGAGTCAATGCAAAAGAACCCTTCACTCACAGGATGGTAAAACAAGAGCCTAAGTCAGGAGCCCTACCCTCATCACTGAAAATTAAAAACAAAACCAGAAACAAAACAAAACAAGAAAGAAAAACAGTGAAATCGGAAATAAAGCAGATAGAGACCTGCAAAACTCTGGTGAGTCTAATAGACCAGAACTGATCTGGGGAGGAGGGAAGGGAAGATAACTATGAAGAGCCACAAGGTAAATGACCACCCATCAAATAATATGTAGCAAAGTCTTAAAACATCTGTTGACAATCAGGAGGATGGAGACCCCAGCAGAAAAGGGCAGAGATCACTTTTCTTACTGTGTTTATATGGGGCTGCATTAGGAGCAATCAAATGTGTTGTCATGCTCCAACCAACTGAACCTATGTAATTAATTCTCCTAAGTACTTTGCACAGCAGGTAGTTCTATTAGTCTACTGCTAAACCACTGTTTAACATAAAATATTGCTAATCTGAGCTCACTCCTTAGTATATGTTTGTTGCTGCACAGATCATTTTAGGCTATTGTGAATTGTCAGTATCATTTTCTTTAAACAAGGGAACACATTATTCAGAAAGTGCCAAACAACATCTTTATAATTATAATGAAGTCTCCTATAGAGCATTTCCTGTTAACTTTCATAGTGTTTTGAAGAAAATTCTTTTGAAGGCTTTTGTAGGCTCTTGTCCAACATATCTGGGGAGTCTGTTTTTCAACATCTAGTTTTACTCTTTAATGTTTATTTATGGCCACTTCAGTGCCTTTAACTTCCTAGGATTTAAAAATATTTTTTAAACCAACTTAATCATCTCAGATTTGCACAAATTTGAACAGAGACCAGCTGATTCACTAGTAATTAAAGTATAATCACAAAACCTGTTCTTAAAGCAACTTAATTTACAGCTTGTGTTCTTCTTTCCAGTGCTATGCATGAACAGGCACACAGAGCTAGCTTTGTTTTGGCCATGTACAGCTACAGAAGGACTGTGCAGGATGCAAACAGGGAGCTATAGAGGCTGAAGTTTACAGCAGATATTGTAAACAGGACATGAATTCCAGTGCAAGTTCCTTTCACCAAATCTAGTCATTTTTGTCACTCTTTTTTTTCTCCTACGTATTTTTTTTACTTTGTTTGAACTTTTTAAAGGATACCAACTGGCATCCTCTTTCCCCCACCCACTTTAGCTACCACCCCTTATCAGAACTGCAATTTAAGAGCCTAGAATAAACTGGAATGATTTAGGCTTATGTTATTTCCTGGCTGCTTATAAAGGTCAGAGTAGCTGGCTACTTCTTCCATCTACATTTACAGTGATGGGAGCAAACACTTTTGTAATGAATCCTCTTAAATTTGAAATACAAATCCAATCACATTCTGAAACATCCATTCCCTTGAGATCATTTCATGTTTTCTGCTGCTTTTGATCCTCCATATTATTCACGGCAATTCTTCTGCAGGTGTAGTGTAAACTGGTTTCCCTCTGCCACTCAACTCTGTACATATCATGCTGCTTTTGTACACAGCTCATTATTTTCTAACATCTACTCGTAAATAGGGACAGTGCTGCTTCAAGTAAGGCAGAAATGACTAAGCCCATCATGCTACTGCCCAGGTAGGTTTAAGACAGCATGTGTTTCTGCAGACCATATTCCAGCTGACATCTGGCGTGCCACACAGAAAGGATTCTTTGCTTAATGGTTGAAATGTTCTCAATCAGTAAATACTTAAACATAGCTGGAAATTGGCAGAATATGAGGGGTCTCCTGTTAGGTAGGACATCTGCCTGTAGGATAGTCCAAAAGAAGGCCCTAGGAAGGAAAATTATGGAGTGAGAAATTGTTTGTGTTAAGGCTAAAGTGTTCAAAAAACCAAGTATTGTTATTAGATCTGAATTAGCTCCTCTGATGTTACATCAAAACTTATTAGCTTTCTTTTAGCAAAAAGCTGAGGCTGTTGCTTAACTTTCTGGAACAAGCCATGAATTCCATTGTTTTTCAGAGGTTGTCGTTTGATTCTCAGAACCAAAATGAATCTGATTCTTGAGTTGGCATATACCTTTAAAGCATTCCTAGATCAGGGCTCTGAAAAGCGAGGCTTTGGTTTCAAAACCTCTTCCACATTAATGGGTTCCTTATGGGCAATAATGGTGCAAGTATGAGAGATGAAGAATCAGACTGCGCAGTGGGCTACTCAGCAGTCACCCTTTTCAGATTCATTGTAGAGAAGATGTAGACACTGGGGATAGTTAAATTTGGCCTCAGGAGGAAAGCAAGACCTCCTAACCATGCTACGTGGTAGCTGCTGTGTTAAGAAAGCCGTTTACAACAGGGCTCATTCAACACCATGAAAATCCTGTGGCATCTTTCCTCTCTGCTTGGACTTAAATCACATTCTGTTCCCGTCACACTTATCTGCTCATTGTTAACCACCTTGAAATGACCTTCAAGAGCCATTTTCAGAAAACAACACAAAAAAAAAGACCTGCTTACTGTGTTTGACAGTGACTTATGAGGCAGGTAAACAGCAGTGGTCACAGATACCTCTTTTATCCACTGACTATTGAAATACTCTGTGCACACATGTCACTGGTGGGGCTGCTCTGTATAATTGCTGTTTCCTGTTTGTCATCACCTATCCAGCAGCTGAAGGCATTAACTAAATTTTGTCATCAGTTCTACAAATACATACATGCTTATAGTTGAGCCTAGGTACGTTTGAATGACTGGCTATGGGTTCTAAGCACTGCTGTGAAACAACAAATAAAAATGAGCTTCTCCTGAAAAGAACTAACTATCTGTACTATACAATGGCATAACATTAAGGGTGTCACAGAGATCAGGTTGGATGGCACCACGTGCCCTGGGTTATCCACCTTTATACACTGGGTTAACTAGCAGATTACAACTGGCACCCCATTTATCATCATTTCCAATCTCTTATCCAGAAACGGTGCTTCATGTAAATCAAGACTGATAAAAACTTATTCATTTGCAAGAGAACCCAGAGCCAAAGCTAACATAAGTTTTGTGCTCATTTACACTTTGCCAAGAACTACAGGCTTCACAAAAGATCTCACTGATACCTTCATGGCAACAGTGCTGAACAGTGTTGAAATGCCCAGCAGACTTGGCAGGCAGAGTTTTTAGCATTCATAAGGGTGCAGATGTAGAAGGCTTGGACAGCTGTCTTCATCAGACCAGTCTGCATATGTGACCTCATCTTTGACCTGGCTGTTGGGATAGTGTCAAAAAACATCTTACCTCATTTGGTAGCAATCAGAACTATCTAAACATGATCTGGATCATGTATCTAAATTCAACACTAAGGACTGCTGGATGGAAAGTTTCAAACATATTCTTTGCATAACATCCTTTTGAATGACTGATACTCTTCCACTTGATGTAATCTCATCAGTAGATGTCTGTCTTGGTTTTCATGAAGTGGTCTCCAAATGGTTGTTTTCTCCATTTTTTTTTTTTGGTATCAGTCCTGTATTTAAAATTATTCTATGCTAGATGGGGGTAGAAAACTAGAGAACAGATAGCCAAAAATCAATCATTCATCAGATATGATGGTAAAATGAACTCCCCAGACTTATGCTATGATTATATTAGATTAGGAACATTCTTTTATGTGCCTGGACCAAGACTGCTAGATCCCATCTGTAGCTATTCAGGGCAACAAGGCTTTCATATTCATGTGGAAGAAGCCCTTGAAGGCTGCTAAACATAAAGGCTTCAAAGAACTCGCCTTTGTTTAGGAGGGCATCCCAAAGAGTACAACTGCATTTCTCTCTTACCCAGCACCTAAGCTTTCTCGCAGCCTCAGAACAGAGTACGTTTGCTGTGGAGGTTCATGAAGCACAGGGTGTCACCTGTGAAAGGAGGAACTAACACCTTCATTCAGAAGACACGGATCTTCCAGCCTTACTGCACAAGGGCAGAAGTAGCAATGAGGAAATTCTCCCTAGCTGTGTTACAAGTCACCTAACACCATTCAGGACTGTTGTGGTTTGAGCCTGGTCAGCAGCTAAACGCCACGCAGCCGCTCACCTGCCCTCCCCCCACTTGGGAACGGGGGGAGGGAATCGGAGGGGCAAAGGGAGACTCGCGGGTTGAGATAAAAACAGTTCAATAACAGTAACAGAACAACACACTGACAGCAGTATCAGGGGGTAATGGACAAGGCAGCTGCTCACCATCCGCTGGCCGGCGATCCCCAACACCAAGGCCCCACAGCCACACTCCCAGAAGTGAGAGCCCCTCTGGGCCCACTCCTGCCTTTATATAGTGAGCACAGTGTCACATGACAGGGGATATCGGCCAATCGGGGCCCAGCCCTCCAGCTGTGCTCCCCCCGCCCCCGCACACAGGTGAGGGCTCTGGGACCCGGGGAGCCCCGGGGGGCTGCAGCTCCTCCCACTGCCCGACCCACGGGAGTGCTGGGCCAGCCCCAACCAGGACAAGTACCAGACCTTTGGTTCTTGCAGCAATTCACAAAGAAACAAGCAAAGTTAAGTGGCGAACTTTTCTTATGTAAATATACACCCTTGGTCACTAAAATTCAATTAGACTAGAATAGAAAAGTACTATATTAGTAGTATTATTAATTATTAAAGCCAAGGAAAGTCTTCCCTGGAAACGAGGGAATTTGGTGTAATACCTCTTTCCTTAGCTAGCCATACACCAGGCTACACTTCATAAGATGAAAGAGGAAAGCTGTCTTTACAGGAATTACTCTGGGATTTTTGAGGAACAAATGGCAACAGTCTAGTCAGGAAAGTCCATTCATTCTGAAAGGATACACCTAAAATGAAGAACTTTTTTTTTAAAAAAAGTATTCATTTATTTTCTGGAGAGAGGCCAACCAAATGAAGGAAATCAAACTGTAAACTCCATGAACTTTGTATGAGGCTGAGTTTTGTTTATTTATAACAAAATGGAGAAAAAAGAGGCAGGAACACCTATCTTGTAACATGAACTTTAAAGTGTAAAGTAAATATAAAGCTAAGAAGAATCCAGGCCCAGGAATCCAAAACAAAGTTTGTTCAAAACGTGAGCAGAGGCACAGCTGTCACAATGCTGACTTAGCATTCTTCAGGTTTCAAAGGAAAGTCAAGTCCATCAGTATTTCCGTACCCAAGTAAACCAATACCTAGCTTTAGCTGCAGACACTGCACTCATTCACACTCCTTCATCAGGGAAACAACCAGAATGTCAGTTATCTTTGGACACAGAAAAAAAAACCCAAAACAAACCAAACAAAACGTGAATAACTGCACAGTGATATCATATTACTGCCTTTCATATAGAAGACAAATTGGAATTATAAGTTGTCATAATTTCAATTACAGTTTGGAAAAGTGATTCCCAAGCAGAGTTTGTGGACCACTAGTCATCCACAGCAATCTTCAGAACCACTGATGCTCCAGGCTCCTGGCAGACAAAATCTGAGGGTTGACAATAGTTCGTTGCTTTAACTTTTTAAATTATTACTGACTTGGAACAATTCTTCTCTCAATTATTTTTCAGAAAAACAAATTCTTTCTGCAGTCATTTAGGTATTACACTGAGTTTGGTCTACAGACTGTAACTTAGAAAGTGTATTTTTTTTGTCCTTACTGCAGAATTGACTATTGCAAATTGCCCGCAGGAAATTTATAAATAAGTATTTCAA